ATGAGACACTCAAGTCATATGATTCTTAGATGATACCAGAGCTTTGAAATATGAACACAATGGAAGTCACTGCAGTAATTTTTCGTTCATCGACGTTGCTATAGCAACGTCCTTTTTAAAATGATGAGAAAATGGCAGTCGCGTTTGCTTTATTCGGGGCAGATACACACAGCAGCCAACGGTTTAATTCGGTTTGTCACTCAGTCAGATACGCTATGTTCTCAATTACCGGCGAGCGTAAATGGAGGTCTATCTGTACATCTAATATATTTTTCATCTAATGCAATTTATGTAAGACATCCTTAAACAAATCTACGTATGGTTTATATTTAGCTTAGACTACAGAATGTCTCCAAACGACGTATCCGTATTATAATGTATATACATATTTTTGGAACGCTCTGTATATAGCGTAGAATGATAGGATAATTAATGAATAACTAATTGGAAAGTACATGGAAGGAAGCAATCGTGGACAAATTTGAGGTAATATCCCAGCATTCGCCTGGAGGACATGAGGAAGACAATGAAACACCCGAGTCAGGATAGCCGGTCTGCAGGCGGATATTTGAACCTGGGGCCTCTCGAATACGAAGCAGTAATGGTACCCATTCGGCCGCCATTATGTCGTGGTGACCTGAGCTGAGTTACGAGAGTTTATGTAACAAACGATAAATCTACAGTTGGCGTACTTTTCGAACTGCCAACAGCTGAGAAGTAAAACCAGGAAAAGAAAAAAACAATCAAAATTGTACAAAAGCAGCGATTCAATTATAAATGTGTGAGTACGAGAACTGGTTTTTGACAAGAGCGGGTGAAAACAAACCTAGAAACAGCAGAAATTACATTTTCAGACAAGTTTCTGGACGCGATCTTTACGAAAGAACAAATGTCCAACAAAACATTTCGAAATTCATCTAAACGTATTCCTCGGCGTCTCATAGAGAAGTTAACCGTCTGAGTAAATGACAGCGACTTTGCAGAGAGTCTAACCGATTCAAACACAGTGTCTTAAGCCACAAGTGTGCCAGGTAGCCTTAGGCTATTGGAACAGTTAGTACATGGTATGTGGCTGAACAAGTTGGAATAAGAACCCGCAAACACTTTTGTGATCATATTCAAATGCACGCAATCCAGGCCAAGCCAAAACTTCGCTTGTAAAGTGCCGTGAGAGAAATTAAAGTTGAAACAGTACATCGTCAGCCACAAAAGGGAGCATGACAAGTCGCTAAAAGGAAACAAAATTAAGCAATGGATCACTGGTTGAGAAACACTGCTCTAGCAACTAGTGCAAAGAGGCACTAGGTTTCAGGTGTACCGCGAATTTGTGTAAGAAAGTGGATTTGCGAAAATATTATCGAAATGCTCTTCTTTTGGTCAAGGACCTGAATAAAATGACTTCGTCATGATTACCAATACAGATTATATAGAGCCTGCAATTTTATCATCATTAACAACATATTAGGCTCAGAGTAGCTAAACATATAACACAGCAACATGACACAATATAAACAGCACCTTCCCGTTAGCAACAAAGCAAAAACACAATCAATAACCAAGTTCAAAAATACAGAAAACTTATCTTATTCACAGTAAAGTTTGAAAGCAATAAATCGAGCATAAATAAGTAAACATATTGACTGACAAAGGAAAACACTGAGTGCTGTTAGGTCTGTGTACAGAGTTCACACACACTCACACACACACACATCTGTTACGTCATTTAACCCGAAGTTGGCTGCATTTGTTTTACAAACCATAATCTAAAAACACTGATTGAAGAAATTAGTATTATTTGTGACTTACGTTCGAAATCTTCAGTGGATATTGTTCAACACAGTGATCACAAATCTTGGGCTGCCAATGTTGATAAAACTGTGACTTTAAAACCACACGAGAAACACCATAAAATATACTTTTGTACACAAAGCTTGGCAACCGCGCTCTATCAAGACGCCATCTTTCACTGGACATGAATACCAACATGACCAATCTAACGGCGCAATATTTAAAATCATTCGAGGAATACATTAGTCCAGAACACACGTGCATCATTTTACCCAGCAATGTTATTTTTGGCTAGTCTCCCACACCCGAAGAGACTTAATAGACATGTGCCAGAGTATAGGATGTGTGAAACTTCAGATCCACAACCCAAAATGACCTCATAGAGCGGTGTGTCAGCCTTAACCTTGTTTGATAATTTGAACAGGAAGTCAGTGATATGCGAACGAGATTATGGACGATGGATGACGATCAGAAATTAAGCTATTTTATCGCAGGCGATCAGTGGACAGCAGGGCTGGTCTGGACAAAGTAGTGGAAAGGAGAAAGAATCTTCGACCCTGCCGAGAATCAAGTACCGGACTAGCTCGCTCGGCCACTGTACTTACTTCTTTTCCGTTCCATTGCTGCTGCTTCAGTGAATGTGATACACGAAGTCGTTGGCTGTGTCTATGAAATAACCTTGAGCGGGAAAAATCTACAAAATCTCGCGTGTTTTGATCGGAAATGTTCATTAAAAATTCATGAAACAAATCTCTTTGAGCAAGACATGCTAACACTATTCTAATTAGATTTCTGGCACGATAGATAATTGCTGAAGAACTATGCTAATTCTGCCTTTAAGCGGGAACTCATCCAAATGTTAAGAATTCAGTCTGTACCGCTAATAGAATATAACACGTCTTCATTACAAATATAAAATGGTTAACGTAGTTTAAGGAAATGATCACAGTTTATTCCGAGACTCACATAAAACTCATTAATACATTCTGTGAGCAAAAAAGCGGAGTTGTTTATTGTTAAAGCAGGTGGTACACGGCTTTTACAAACTGATAATGAAACAACTTTCAATAGAACGACCACAATTATTACCACAAATGGAAGGAGAAATGTAATAAACACTGCGCTCTTTTTTCTCTGTCCGAATGTTTCGTATTTGCAAGGTCTCGACGTTTACTTTAAATGCTTTCATGTATATTGAAGCCAACAGCATTCCGACGGAAATTTTCCACAGTTTAGTGATGATTCTATTACGGCGGGGAATTTTTTTTTTCAGCTGAGCGACTATCAGGTTTTCAAAATGGCCTCTGCTCCAAGGAGTTTTTGGAGAAGAGACAAAACTACTTACGGAGACAATTTTACTTCAGAGGTATGCGGCTATCGTCAGTACGATACTTCAAGGAATTAACACGTGGAGGCGCTCGTTCCAGCAGAAAGACGATATCTTCTCAGACGCGCCAAGACACAGGATGAACTTTGCAGTTTGTCTCCGAGATGGCAGCACAAGAATTAGCACAGCTATCGTCTAAGCACTGTCTATTACAATAAATACTTATGATTGAGGTATTTCAGATCGAAGGCACGACTTCAAATCTGTTCTGATTATAATCTTCTGTCGTCTCGTCCCAGAACAGAAACCAACAGAAGAAAAAATTATAATTTTACCAGAGTATATAATAATAAATTTAATCTCTCGCCCTAAAGTATTAAAACTACTTACCAGCTAAGCGACTATTCGCTCCTTAACAATGCCACTTCCACGGAATTATTTCTCCGAGTTGTATAGACTATAGATACACGTGCTGTGTTCAGAACCAAAGCAAAACCATTTGTAAAATGGAAACAGATTTAATTGTTTTCATCTCAGATTAGCGAAGGTGACAAATTTTATGCCTGGGAAGTACTGAATATAGCACACTGCATATGTTTAAATTATTATTGTTACCAACTGCGCACGAGAAGTGTAAATTACAGAAACTGGAAGTTTTAACTTTCTGTTATTTACGTATCTTTATGTAGAAATAGGTTGAAGAGTTCCACTTCGGTTTCTCTACAATAAAATACAAAATGTGAATTGCTACTTTGATGACGAGAACAAAATACAATGGCGTTGTATTGTATTGTAAAAGAGAAATGACAGTAACTTTTCCTGCATTCCATTGTAAAAACAAAAAAAAAAGGATTGTTCTTGAGAATACGTCCTTAATTTTATAGACGAAGAATATCTAAAAGACATTCTTTGCCTCAAGTTTCTTATTTCCTGAATTTTTGTAAGTAATTGTAACCCTTTGATTCTTCATATGAAACGCGATCTACTCTGTTAAATCTACCGGCCCGCAGGTAGCACGCCTATAGTTTAGAATATCGCCTTACAACCTTCCCTGATTCACAGATAAAACAGCAGCGTGCTCTCTGAGGACCTTTTCCCATGTTTCTTACGCTCTACAACACAAATAAGACGTAATTATTAACTAACACGCCTGTAAGTGTTCATGTTTAGCGTAAAAACTATGGCTTTAAAATCGAAGACAAGTCAAATCACCCACACCGAAAATTTGTAATTAAAATGCACAATAGCATATAAAATAATTTAAATTGTCAGACATAGGCTACATGCGTCTTCCAAGGACGTAATGTCTGTAAAACTACACCCCCCCCCCCATTTGGGATTCATTAAGCAACCAGCAATGAGTGATCTGGTCTGGTTTAATGGTTCGTCGTCAAACCAGCAGGACTGGAGGAATATTACAGAAATGCTTTACCATATAACACAAAAGCATTATTATTATTATTATTATCCATTCTTTTCACCATTTTACAGGTATTTACTTCTATGTACCTGAGACAAACCTCGCTTGAGATACATAGTGCAGCAGCGATTTCTGAAATACATTTCGTCTTTCGAATGATGTATGATGACCCTAGAATGGCAGTTTTCTGAAGTTCCCTAATATCGTGTTCGCTCGGAATGTTCGCAAAATATTTTCGAGTGATGATGATGATGATGATGATGATTATTATTATTATTATTATTATTATTATTATTATTATTATTATTATTATTATTATTATTATTATTATTATTATTATTATTATTATTATTATTATTATTATTATACTTAGCTATCGTATTTAGCCCATTTACTTGTGAAATATTATTCAATAAATGAATTGAATTATTATTATTAAAATACCTTACCGTTATAATGTGGTTGCTGGAGAGACACGACCTGGCATTTAGACCGGGATTCGACCAGGGTTCCTCCACTGACACAGACCGAGCCATAACTACTGGCTCCTGTCTCCCCACTCAGTCGGTCACGTAGTCAAGTGCTAATAGAGAGAGAAAGAACTTAGTGTCAGTATTCAACATACTTAAATTCTTCACAAGGAAGCGCAAAACGAACACAAGAAGGTAGTTTTAAAAGTGTTCGTCTTCCCCCGCTGTGACCAAGAAGCTAAATGCGAAATATAATCTGAAGATCTCCGGTTGAAAATCACTGGTTTGGACCACGTTAATAGCTCCAGACTGAAGACAGAAGCAGCGTGCTGCCTCTCAACGTCTCTCTTCCAGAAGAATAGAAAAGGTGACCTGCTTATTGTAATTCTTTCTCTTTTATCCAGTGGCTCACAAAACAGTGGGTTTCTCCAACAAAGAACGGTAGTCAGCTGCCAGGCATCGGTGCTACAAGAACTGTCTCGGACACCGTCAGGTGAGTGCATCGTAAAACAGTTAATTGGTTACAGACATTTCATGAGTATGTAAAGTGTATAATGTGGAGTTATTACTGTCGGGGGAAACGCTTTGATAGTTGAAGATCACTTCTGGGTTGTTGCGCCGTGTACTATAGTAAAAAATTGACCGCCGTTTTAGAGCCGCTTACTGGCTCATCATTAGGACGAAACGTCGATCAAATTTTAGAAGACTACAAGGTGCAGAAACGGAGAAGACTCATCTTCATAATGGCGTGGCGAATATTTAATTAAACAACAAAAACATTTTTTTTTGTAAGTAAAGCAGTGTGTGAAGTATGTTTAGCTTTTAAACAACGAAGTTTTTATTTCAAAATCAAAATGGATTTTCATCTGCAATAAATGAACACGACCAATGACAAAAAATAGACGTACCCGGAAGATGGAGCACAGCTTTCAACACTTGCTTGGGCCGTGGGGGGGAGGAGAAAGGAACTTCACAATTTTCACTATTCACGTAATATTATGTGACGTTTAAACGCAGAGGAAATCAAAGAGGTTGATATTACATTGGGCTTGAAGATGTGAACTGGTCTGAAATGACTCGAGACAGAGTTCAATGATAGGATTTTGTGAACTCTGTGACGAACCTTCGGGATGCGTTAAAGCAGAAGTATTTTTAATCGGTAACTCAACTGATGAGGTTTCAGGTTTCTAACGGTGGCGAGTTTTAAGATAACAATTTTCTTGGACGTTGCGCGGTGCATCACCCTGATGATCGAGGCAGTAACACCTCTGAAACGTCGATAAACTTCTACCAGACTTCACGTCGTAACATCCTGGAAAACAGTTGTCTTCAACTGTCAATTGATTTCTTAAGAGTCGGTAAATTGGTTTCTACTTGGTTATGATGAACTACGCACTTTCCATTTGCCCATTGGGTGTCCAGGGGCCCTTCGCCTCAACGGTTTGTATTCCAGTGCCAGCATTGGTATTCCGTTGTCTTCATTCTGCACAGCCTATACGCTGTAGCCATTTCTTCATTATCATGGATAATATCTGAAACATTTAATTCCTTCTCTGAAGTCTGCATTTAGTTCGGGATCTCGGTTTGTAAATCATAGTGAATGTGGAAACTTCATTTCTGCAGCCGCTTTCAGGCTTTCGGCGTATTTTTACTTCAATTCCCAGGCTTGACACATCTCAAAGTTGTTTTTTTTACTTCCAAATAACAGATTTGTCGAAATTTGTTAAAGATAATTTTTTTATCCAGTACGTAACTAACTATAAGCCGGGACAGCTCAGTCAGTATAGTGACTAGCTACGGGCTAGACGACCGGGGTTCGATCCCCGACGGGGGCAGAGGATTTTTCCTCTAGCCTCTGCGTCCAGACCGGCTCTGGGGCCCACCCAGCCTCCTCTACAATGGGTACCGGGGTCCTTTCCCGGGGGTAAAGCCGGCCGGGGCGTGATGCTGACCACTCACCCCCATCTAGTGCTGAGGTCAAGGAAGAGAGGAGCTATACCTCCACTCACACTTTACTTTACGTAACTAACTAGATGAAGAATATGAGGTTTTCATGGCGCTGAAGATGGCTGTCTTCTGGGCTGTTGAGCCATGTAGTCTGGTATTAAGTTTACAAAGACGATGGTCCTGATGATGGAGGCAGTAAGGACATCTGAAACGTTAGTAAACTTTTACCAGACTACATGGCTCAACAGCCCAGAAGACAGCCATCTTTAATTAGATGAAGCAGAATCAGAATTACAGTGTACAAAACAGTTCGTCAATGGATCCTATCTTGAGCCAGCTGAATGCAGTCCACACACACACCCACGTTAATATTATCTTACCATCTACGCCTAGGTCTTCCAAGTAATATCTTATCTTCAGGTTTTCCGACTAAAATGCTGCACATGTTTTACCCATCTCATTCTCTTCGATTAGATGAGCTCTGGTGAAGACCACAATTTATGTGGATCATTACAGGACATAGTTGTATCATGGAACATTTTTATTTATTCTCTTTTAAGGGCTTTCGATTAGGCCTACATTAAATATAAGAAATGACGTATCAGATGCTGTCACCATAACCATAATATGGAAAACATTGTTTAGAAATTTCAATTTCAGTAAAGATGTAAAAAGTTTCTACAGTCAAATGTGTTGTTAATATGGCACCCTAGTTTATAAATTTAAATAAAAGACCAAGGTAATAAATTGAAAAATTGATAGACAAATTTAAGGAATAAAACGATATTATTGTACTTTATGAACACGATGAATATACAGAATATCCCCAAAAGATGTATACAGACATTAAATTAATTAAATAATAAAAACATTTCAATAAATTAACCATTACATACGTCAGCAATTGCGCTTGGTGAATTAACGAATCCATTGCAAGTGTTCAAGATGACAACAGTTACCTTCGTGACACAGCTGACAGCGGTGAGCAATTGACAGACAAGGTTAATATTTTTTGGGGCACTTTGTATTTTAATACGCCATTTACATGGAGTAGAATTTTCATAAAAAGAACAATTTAAGTTGCATGCATTGTTTGCAATAATCGTCGTCTCAAGACGGAGTCTACTAGCGCAACTGATGACGTTGGCTGATTTACTGTGTTCTGATAATTTTCTCGTCGTTTCTGCTCCACGCGCTGGGGTTCTACGTTGCTAGCAGGGTTCCATTATAAAAACACCTTCTTCTATGTACACTGATTAATAATAATAATATGTTAATGTATTTTTTCTGTAGTGTATTCAATCAGTGCGGATAATTCATGGACAAAATATCAACTCAACACTGATCCTTAAATAAGCACCACGTCATGCAGACGTATGGGGGAGTGGAGGTATAGATTCAGGCATTCTTAACCTCGGCACTACATAGAGGTGAGTGATTAGCTTTACGTTCCGACTCCCTTACAGCCAAGTAAATAAAACTTCGGATGGGTGGGCCCCAGAGCCATCTTGAGAAAAATGAATAATCTTTTATTACCGGATATTTCTCGTGAGGTTGTCCATCCCGCGATCCCCACGCAGCACCCAGACGGGCTACAAGGAAACTAGCATCAGCAGCTGATGTGGGTACCTCCCCCTCGCAGTGACATGGCAGGAAGTGCAGAGAGGATCAGTCACGGTGCTCTATTTAGAAAGTCACAGATGTGGACACACGCAGAAAACCACCGGAAGTGACTTGAAAGTGGTCGCTGGAGCAGTGTTTGTCGGCGAAATGAACACTGTGACATCGTGTTACAAATACGGACGGACGATCGTGGTCCTAGGCGGGTCACCACATACTGACCGAATCCGGTGAATATCCACCCCCCTCCCAAGGGGCACATAGCTGACCACACACATCCATCTAGTTCTGCGGTTAAAATGCGTGCTTAAGACAATGATAACCTCACTTTTTCAGCCTACCATGACTTACATGTCTGTGTCAAAACATACTAACAACTCTGACACAGACTAATTTAACGAACTCATGTTCGTACAGACTCGACCTTCGCTATGTTTAGTTTCCTACCATTAATAATATGATCATGACAGCCGTGCGAACTTGTAAGGTGACAGCGACAAAGGCCCCGATTAATATAAAGTAAAAGTTTAAAATTCCGTAGAGACAGAGCACAAAAATAACTATAAATTATGTATGGAAAGTTTCTTGTATGTTAATAATTACAAACATAGAGGGAAACGTTTTAGGTTATGTCGGACAATTTAACGCGTACTCGAAATTTGTACTACTAGAAATTATGCACAGAAATGGGCGAGGAAATTGTATAGCTTCAGTTTGCCTCACATCAGTTAAAAAAAAAGCTTGAAGAAAAGAAGGTAGGCGCCCAGAACTTGTTTTTCATGGACGTAAGCAGTAAGGAAGAACATGAACTGCGGGTACTGAGTACAAATTACTGAGGAGACTATCTAAGCATTTCAAAGGAAGCTAGTGGGAAGTTCTCCGAGATTCGTGCAGACCACATGGTCAGTAAGAAACTGATGTACAAGAGGCACTCGCAATTTGCCACATTTTGATTGTATTTACGTACTTTCCTCACGTTTCTGTATTGTATTCTGATGACAAGACATTAACAAGTTTTGTAAGATTCTGCGTTTGTGATTTTACAAAATAAACCAAAAATTAAATCGTATAATTACAGGAATTCACCGATAGTTTTGTTCTGGCAGGATTCAAACTCATTCCTCTCTTCATGCACACACAAATTAAAAAGCAGTGTATATGCTTGAACCAGGTCAGAGCCATCTTAACTCCTCGCTCTAGTTATGGCGCTCGGCGTAAGCAGAAATTTCACTTTTATTCAAATCCACTTTCTTGATTTCTTCCATAACAAATCATGTACAAGAAAATTAACATAATCATCAAGTGTGCAACATTTCTAACGACTTCTATATTCTACAGGTCTGATACTCAGCAATAAAACAAAAATTGGCTGTCCATGGATTTTAAAATACTTTCCTCCGGCACCATAATCAGGCTGTTCAACGCTGTTAATTTTTCCCAACTAAGGCGAGGAACGGAACTATTCATTCAACAAAACGTGTTGTTGTGTGAACTCACCATTCTGTTACTAGCCGGAGACTTTCCAGCGCTATCATAGGCTGAATAATCATTGGCTTCTATGGAAGTATACCACAGCTTGCCTGTCAGCCAGTTCCAACACAAGCCTCGCTATTCGGCTGGGTTTCTATGCTTCGGATTCTTAGAGTAAATTCACCACACTTCAGTACCCCAGGAATGTCAAGACTACAAAATAACTTCGAGAACCGTCCACTTCATAATCCTGTCTTTGCATATCATATTTCAAAAGCAAAATACCAAAATATATAAAAATACAGTTTTATCTGTCACTTTATAAAGATGGGGAACTTGGTGTCTCGCCCTAAGGGGAGAACAGTGATGAGAATATTTCGACCTAAGACAGAGGACGTGACAGGAGTAAAGAGAGATGACGTAGTTCGCTCTTCGAAAACTATTTTGTACGCTTATAAATTCAAGGACTGGATGGGCGAGGTCTGTAGCACACACGGAGCTACAATAAAAATTTTAAGTCGGTGGACTGAAGAGCTGAGGCTACTTGGATGAGGGGGGCCTCAGAGACGAACTTGAATTGGAAGCGAAGAGAAAACGACCAGGCTGACCTGACTCTACCCCACGACACGGCAACAGCAAACAATCCAAGACACATGGAGCGATTCCTTGTTTCACACAACTTTCACATAATTCTACTGACGTTCGTAGAACCAAAACAAAATTGAGCATCCTAACTAACTAGAACTTAATTCTAAATAAACACCTTCCTTATTCAATCAATTTCCATGCTACTTTATACACAAGAAACTATAATACAGGTTTTACATTCTGACATTAACTTTACAAGAATTCTGGACTTTAAAAGCTCGCGAGAGATACTAACAACGTAAACACGGAACAGTGTAAAGTGGGGCAAACATATCAAGGGGTAAGAAACAGTATGCATTGAGGGTTTCCGCATGTAAACAACGCGGCAGATGTTGACTTTGGGCTAATCTGAAGGAAAATTTGGCCGACAGTATTTTCAAGGGCATTTATGAACGGAAGTCTTAATAAATGGGGCACAATGTAATTTTTAGCAACTGGAACTTTTGCCGTTTTTTGAAAAACCGATATGAAGTGTGTAAAACAACAAATCTGTAAATATATTACAATGTAAAACCGCGGTTAATAAGCAAAGTTGCATGTAGATAGCAATCTTAAAGAACATAAAAATGTGTACTATGGGGGCAAAGGGTTCACACAACAGAACGGGCCACCTTAAACAATGGGGCATATAAAGCTACAACCCAGCATCGGCACAGAATACCACACCACCGATTTCTCCTGCAGTGTTCCACTGCCTCTGAGAAAGGGAAAGCAAAGTTGAACAGTGGGAAAAGAATCGGAAACTTACCCAGTTCTCCTTCGAGATACCAAACAGATGCAAGCCTAAAAGAGAAACAGTGAAAAACAGAAAACTTTACTGTCGTAGCAACTCGCACTGAAAAATCAGCATCAAAAACCACGAATTCAGTAAATATCTTACTTGCCTACATTTTCCAAACATTGGTAACAGCATTCTTATCCCACACATGGTGCAAAAGTGGGCGTTCGTCACATCCGAGCTGAATTCCAATTATATTTTAATTCATTCTTATAATTAAAGCTATTAACAAGAAAGAAAGAAAATTAATGAAAGCATTCGCCCATAAAAAAACATCAATATTGTTCAAATCTTTACTTTCCAAGCGCCTTTGCCCCACTACAAACATGACATGTCGTAAACATCTAAATGAGATCCAACGTCATGACGCCTGTTACGTCATCAAACACCCAGCCTCTCCCCTCTCGTAAGAACGGGACGTTGAGGGACTATCGAGAATGTAGATATTTCTGACTTGAAGATTTCTGCTCTTCCTTTAATGTAGCTCCATACCAAGACGTTCATCACTTGCACGCATGTCACCACGCGGCAACTGCACCTACAAACGCGCATGTCTACAAAGCAAACATTTATTTATTTTTAAAAACTTGGGCATAATTCTTCTTTCGAAAGGTCTTTCAGTAATTTATGGTCCCGTTTCAAATATCGGCCCAGGGACTGGTTAACCTGAGGTTTTCGTGAGTTTCCTCAGTCCCCCCAGGTAAATGCTGAGACTGTTCTTTCAACTGGGATATGACTGTTTCATTTCATTTCAATTTAATTAAATATTCCATCATTCAACACTATTAATTAATAAATAAACTGATTATTACTAACTGCAGTTATCATGTGGATCAATTTCATTTTCAGCCGTCACCAAATATGGTGGGGAGAATGTGGATTCTGTTCCTGCTAACAATGGCACTGCCTGACAACGTCTTTAGCATCACCACGCCCGACAAGATCAACACTCGTGAATCACCGGACAAAGGCACGTGAAAAACACAATGATAAATTTTATGTCTGAACTATTTTTATCTTTAACCAAACAACAAATTGGAAGAAACATAACCACTGCTACCAACCCATACTACAACATCCCTTTTTACTAATATCGAACCAACTGATGCAGATTCTGCCCAGCCTGACTAATGCTTAGAATTAGGTTAACTGCTACGTACAATACATCATTAAATAAAGCTCCAAACCTGAATCTGATAACCAAAGAAGTCTCCCTGTACTGGCCAATTTCAATCATAAATCTACGCGACAAATAAGTTGATACAGTGTCACTGAATACATCAAGAAACTCATGATAAAGTTTCCAATGCAGAGGCCTGATAGTAAACCGAGTGCCTAGAACTGTCATAATCACTTTTTGTTAAAACTTCATGAACTACATTTTATTTTGAACTCACTGCCAAAATTAGAAATGTAAATAAGAGCTCTGTATATAATTATTGTTTTACCCACTAAAACTACGTGCCCAGCCCACCAAAGATTTATGGATTTCACCATCTTAACAAT